TTGTTTGTCGTTTCTCCGATCACAAATGCAGACATGGTTTTATGTTTACGCAGCGCGATACGCAACGCGTAAAAAGACAGTATAAGTCATTATAATCCGTAATTATGTCCCCACTGGATGGGTTTTAATGTTTTTGTCTCGTCACTCCGGCCGGGACACGGCATCAACAGTATGGTGAGGGCCGTAATATTTCCGTCACACGCTTGAGGAATTCAGCCAATCACAACGCACTGGATTGGTGGCCAATCAGAGCACACCTCGGCTTTTCAGAACGATGAGCTTTGTAAAAATCGACGCGTTTCAGAAAGGTGGGGCATAGAGGAGCAACAATAATGTACATTATGTGGAAAATAGTGTGTTTTTTTTAACCTTAAACCACATAAACACATTGCATTACACCAAATACACAACATAATGTTCTTTTTAGCAACGTCATATGACCCCTTTAAGGTTTTTTTTTTTTTTTTTTTTGAGGGATAATAGTTCCCGTATTTTAAAAAACAAAACAGTAATTCTCTTTATTGCTGAAGTGTCTGATTAGATCAAGAGGAAAAACATACAGCTATTTAGCGAATGAATTAAACATCGAACAGTGTCTGATTGGAAATTTGGTGTATGGTCTTGCTCTCACTCACAGTAAGTAAATTTGTTAGAGCATAGGAAGTTTAAAAGCCAAAATGTTATGATGTAAAATGAAGAAATATTTCACATTCTGCACTTCTAGGTCACTAATCAAATAATAAAATTTGTGACATTGATCATGTGAACCTTTGTACAATTGGTCAGATGTTGTTCTTCCATTAAAGCACAAGATGCTCTTTGGACCGTTCTAAAATCCATAACGGAAATTGATATCATTAGCTCTTGGCTTGATTGTGTTATCGAGCAACTAATAATGTGTTGCTAATGTTACACAAACCATGTTCCAGGCCCCATCCCGCAAGTTGACGAGACTGGTACGTGTTTGTGATGGTAGAAAATGGGCTGTTTCAAACCACATCTTTTTAAACTGTCTTTTGGTACACTGCAGTTTTAAGGAGAAAATGCTTAACAATGGTGTTGACTGATGATTTTGAACATGGTTTGTCTTTAAGCCTATTAAAAATACCATAGACAAGTAAACAATGTTAAAAACTTGATTTTCACACTAGGGTGAGAACTGATACATATTAGAAGCATGTTTGTTATTGGTCACAGACATTACTGCAAATGCATTATAAAATAATGTGCCTGAATCCAGATGTACATGAATACATTTATACGTGTAACCTGTAATTTCTCGTTCTATCCATGCTGAGACTTTAAATGTGTTAAAGGGGTCATATGATGCTGCTAAAAAGAACATTATTTTGTGTATTTGGTGTAATGAAATGTGTTTATGTGGTTTAAAGTTAAAAAAACACATTATTTTCCACATACTGTACATTATTGTTTCTCCTCTATGCCCCGCCTTTTTGAAACGCGTCGATTTTTACAAAGCTCATCGGTCTGAAAAAGCGAGGTGTGCTGTGATTGGCCAGCCATCCAATGCGTTGTGATTGGCCGAATACCTCAAGCGTGAGACGGAAATGTTACGCCCCTCACCATACTGTTGATGCCGTGTCCGGCCGGAGCGACGAGACATAAACATTAAAACCCATTACAAACGAGGCATTTGTTGCATCCAGTGGGGACATAATTACTGATTATAATGACTTATACTGTCTTTTTACGCGTTGCATTGCGCCGCGTAAACATAAAACCCTGTCTGCATTTGTGATCAGAGAAATGACAAACAACAAGTGCTAACGTTAATCCACACTGCCCAAAACTCGCGTTTGAATCATCAGTGGCAAATGATAAAAGAAAACGTACTTACGTGAGTCAGAACTGCCGGCATTTTAGTCTAACGTAACTCTCCCAGGATCAGTAAACAGTCCTCCATAAAATGTGCTGGCGATCCACAGCACTAAGTTGATGTATTTCCTCAGCGACCAGCACAGATCAGCTCTAGGCATGACGAAGCGGATATCGTCTTCTTTTGGAAGACCAAACAAAGTAGCTTCGCTTTCACAACGAAGCACACAGCGTCTTCACGACATGGCGGCAGCGGCAACAATACTACAGTGAGAATAAAAGTTACGCCGTCTTTCTTTGCGTGAACATTTGGGCGGCGTTATGCAAATCTTCCCACATAGTGAGGTAGATATGTGGGGGCGTGTTCGAACGAGCCGTTTTAGGTAGGTGTGGCTAACTCTTAACTTTTATAAAGAATATCTCTTTGGATTTGAGACTTTAGTCTTTGCAACTTGACAGATCTTCTTTATGCACCAAGAGCTTGTAACACTCCAAAGAGAAAGGAAAAAATGAAATCGCATCATATGACCCCTTTAAAGATGGAAAATTCAAGCTTGAGGAACTCCAAATATGCCATCAGCAGCCCACTTCTGCTATTCAAAACCTTTCAAAAAAACCTTTGTTTCTAATGTGCAGGCAAAGTGTTGGTCAACAAGTTTATTTCGTGTAGGAAACCACTAACTGTGGTTATACTATACTACTGTGGATAATAAGTGATCCATTAACATTACGGCATATGGTCTGTTCACTTACTGTGTTGGCTGTCATTCATGGGCCGTGTTCAGAGTAATTTTAAGCTGCCTCTTCCGCCAGCTCCATATATTTACTCTGTCGTTTTACCTCGTATAACCCTGCTGACTCAGAGGAGTCTGTGTATCCCAGCGTCTCATATTAAAAACCGAGAGCAGCTCAGCGGAGTGGCAAGAGCTGTTGTCAGGAAGAACGTAGAATAGAAGTCGTAGAATATGGGTCAAAGGTTTATTGAGCCATCTCCTTGTTAGTGTCGAGGGCAGGTGAGTAATTCCCTTATGTTTGCCACTTGTAAGTAGTTTTTAATTTATTCTAGATGTTTCCTTACAGATGCTGAAGGCATTGGAGCAATTTGGGGTGCTCCATTTCTTATTTAAAATGAGTAAATGTGATTATTCTTCTGTTGATCATTGATGTGCGTCTTGTGTACCACTGTTCTTCTCTACCTTGATGTGACAGTAATTGTAGCAGATTTCCTTCTAATCCCAGTAACCGTAACTTGTGTCTCTGGAACAAATCCTGTGGATTTATCCCCACTAAAGGGCAATTAGCAAATTAATTCCCACCAAAATAATTTTCCTTCAGAATTTTGTTTTTGTAGAGTGATAAACAGTAAGGATGCCTATTTCTTCCCACAAATTCTTGTTTTTTTATTTAATTTTATTTAATTTTATTAAAATGCTATTGAGTAAAACAAAACATGTTGCAGATATGTTTAATTATACATTGTCATATGCACAGCAATTTAGAATTCAACTTTCAGTTGTAGGAAAAATCTGTTCAGTTCAGTTGGCAAATCTGTCATCCAAGCTTTTCCAGTAAAAGAAGTGAGTTTTCTGTGATTGTCCAGGATTCAGTTTGTGATCTGTTTAGTCTACTTCATGTAAAAGAACTACACCATTAATTTTGCATGTATTTTTACATATATACACTACCATTGTCTCGTGACCCTTCAGAAACCATTCCAATATGCTGATTCTGTGTTCAAGAAACAATTCTTATTATTAGCAATGTTAAAAACAGTTGTGCTGCCCAATATTGATAACAATATACATAATTACATAAAATTATACTTTCATAAACTACATAAATCAGTACATAACTACATACTATCAGTATTTATTTGAAATAAAAACCTTTTGTAACATTATAAAGGTGTTTACTGTCACTTTTGATAAATTTAATACATCCTTGCTGAATAATAGTATTAATTTCTTTCAAAAAGTAAAATTTTACCTCAAGCTTTTTAACAGTAGTGTGTGTGTTTGTTTATGAAATATTCAGTTTGTTTTTTTCACTGCTACTCCTAAATAGTGATCCCGGAAGCACTGGTTTGCGAGCACTATGCGCTCATGTATTCATGCATGCGTTTGGTGTTAATGAACCATTCCTGTGTTGTCATTGTGGTAATAAAAACACAGACGTGCAATGAAATTTTTGAATTGGACTGAAGATGCCTTATATATGGTTGTGGAATGCACATACTTAATTGTTAATTTTTATTTTTTTTTTTTCAAAGAAGTGGCTGAAGTATTTTTGGAGCATGTTTGTGATGTTTGAAGAATGTTCCTGTAATCGCTTTATTGCTGTGTACGCACATTGCTTTCTGCTCCAGCATGAAACCCTGCATGGTGCCGCCACTAAACCTGTGCAACCAGTCCTCAAATACTTGGCCCAAAGCATAAACTGTTCCGTGTGCCGCAATATATGAACATCAGCTCAAGCATTGCCAAATGTCTGGATCACCAAGGTTTCCATAGATTGCAGATTGCTGCCAAAGTAGTGTTTCCAATGGTTGACTTTCTGTTCTATTCTGTTATGCTCCGTGGAAATATTTTTGAGCGCAAGAACACATCTTTTGTAAACGTCCAGACAGAAACTTAGTCTGCTCAACCTGCACAAGATCCCTAGTGGAGGGCTCGCAAAATTTCAAAATCCCTGGTAGCCTTTCAGGCAGGCACTCTTCAGATTTGGTAGCCTGAGATGAATTTAACTAGTCCGAATAAAAAGACAATTTTTTTACGTAGAAAACTGGATAGGAGTCGAAACATCAGTCATAAACATTTTCAAAACACAAATATCAAGGAAAGAATTTTATTTATCTATTTACAGGGTATCTGCAGGATTTTTAAAATCAAATTTAAGGCTTTTTATGACCCTTTTAAGACCTACACAAACAAAAAATTACTACAATATGAGCGGAGCAGGGCAATGTCTATGGTAACATATTAAACCATAAAATGACATGATTTACAGTTCAGACACAGCTTTTCACAAACCCACAAAAAAAAGTCTTATAAAATGATAAACATCACATTTCAGCTTTTAAACCATTTTTAAGAAAAGGGATGAGTCAGACATATGAATTATTATATTAATTTAAAACATATGACAATATATGTCTTACTGTCTTAATTATTAAGAATTTTAGCAGACATTAGCTTCTTGTCGATCCACTGTTTCACAATAACAATGTGTTTGATGTGTAAAAACATGGGTCAATTTTCGCATTGCAACCCTCTACATTGCGAGTAAATCACTCGCATATGCGACTAAATCTTCACTCTGGGCGACTAAATGACGTCTAATATTAGCCAATTGCTAATAAATTCTCAGATTTTACTCGCCAGTGTGTGAGTTGGAGGCTAAGTATAAGTTTAGCTCAGATATATTTTCTCTCGCCGAACACTCTCTGACTGAGCGCATCAGTTTCACTCTCCGCCAAGCCCTGTATTTATCGTACCGTAAACTCTAGTGTGAAGGCGCACGACTCGCCGTCGCTTTGTTTCACACACACGCAGCGAGAGAGGGAGAGAGAGAATTGACGCGCTACATGTAAACGATATTCTTTGTTGTATTTTACTGTCAAAATAACGGAGTTCTTTTGGAATTCTTCAGCTTTTAAGAACTAAAGCTTTCTCCGGTAGTGGGCGGAACTAATGCGCAAACATCAATCTTATTGGCTGGTGCTCACCTATTATCGTCCCTGTTTTGATTTCAGCAAATCAGTTCGAGCGAACATTGGTCTGTAAGAACAGCAGACGGACTTACTGAAAATGCAAATTAATTTTCTGACGGTAGGAGGTGCTTCTGGACCAGCAGAATAGAGCTGTTTCCCCGGTAACGGCTGTACACAAAGCAGCTGCTCTCATGAACGCTACTTTATCAGGCATTATAGGTAGGATGAAATGAAAAATTAAGACTTAGGACTTAAAGGACCTGCGGGAACCCTGTATTTAAGATAGCCCATCAGGCAGGGTGGTGATACATTTTGGTAGCCCGACTGTAAAACACAGTAGCCCTGGGATGTCAGGCTAGTGGTTCTGCGAGTCCTGTATTGTCTTTGAACAGGATTAGCAAGTGAAGTAAAAATCTGATTCCACTATTTGCTGTTTGTTTTGTTCATGAAATCCTCTTAAGATTTGTTGTCTTGTCTCTTAAGTGATGGTGATGACGGTGTGTGTTTTGGATAATTTCACAGCACTTATCACATCACTTCAGTGCCATATTCAAAGACGATCTGAGTTGCGGTTGTTTCAGGAAGAAGTTGTGAAACCGCCTTCCACCACATCCTGTTTTAGAGCGGCCCTGTTAATCTTGCTCACTACTTTACGTTTGTTGTTTTGGTTAACCACAACACTATTGTTTTTTTTTGTTTTGTTTTTTTGCTTTCTTTCTTTCTTTTTCTTTAAACCATATGGTTGCCTATGAATTAGCTTCTGCAAACAATATGAAGTCCCATCTGTGGATTTCACTTTTTTGGGTTATATTAAACCACTTTTGTATCAGTTATAAACTTCCAATATCTATCATCTTCAACTGATATTCAGCTGCCATTCTGTAACTGATGGTTGTGGTTTGTGCTTTATATTTTGGGTTGAGTGTAAAGTCAACTGAGTGATCAATGAAGCAGGTCTCCACTCTCACTGCAGGCAGTCCATGTCTTAACCAGGCTCCCCTGTGGTTTCTTTTCCAGGTGCCATTCTCGGCCGATCAGAGACGCAAGAGTGTGTGTTCTACAACTACAACCCCAGCTTGGAGAACCGAGGAAACCGCAGCGGTATTGAGTCTTGCGTGGGAGACAAGGACAAGAGGCTTCATTGCTTCGCAACTTGGAGAAATGTTTCAGGATTGGTTGAAATAGTAAAGCAAGGCTGCTGGCTTGATGATATCAGCTGCTATGACAGGTAATCTCTTGTGGTTATATGCCTGTTTGACATTACCAAGGAACCAAGATGGTCTGATACAAATAAGTGGGGAGGAAAAAAAGGCCAATTTCTGATTAATTGACTGGTAGTTTTTAAAATGTATATATTCATTCAAAAAATGTAATGTAACAGTTTTATAGTTTTTTTTTAGTTTTTTTTATTCATTGTCATAATGTGGTCCATTGAGGATTAACTGCACTAACTTTAACTGGATAATTTTGAGTCCGATTTGAATGAAAGAGACAATGACATGCGCTTCAGTGATTCATGTGTTTATTCAGTGCTTGCTCTGACGAATTCACTGAATGATTTGTTAGAATGATTCAAACTGATAACCCAGCAGTTTATGAGTCTTTTTGACTGATGGTCTCTGTCACTGTTAATCCACATTATTTTAAGTGTCGGGTTCAGTGCTAACCATAGTCACATGTCACAGATTTCCCTTTGAATAACGATTGTTTTGATTTCATTTATAGAGGCTGTAGATGAATCCTTCAGTGGCGCCCAAATGTTCAGCATTTATTTTTGACTGTATCATTGTTCCTAAATTTGTAACTAGTGAAGATGTTCTTGCTGCTGACAAGCAGTTTTTCCTCTTGTTTTGCATTAAATGGGTGGTTCACTGTTTTTTGTTCTAGGCTTGATTGTGTTTATGGGGTGCAGTCTAACATGTGTTAATGCTTAGTTTTTAAAAAAATGCATTATTTTTCACATAATTGACCTTTATTCCACACCGCTCTGTCCCTTCTCTGAGAAACACACTGATCATTTCCTTCTTTTATGAAGCCCCTTGCTCAGAAATAGGCGATGGGCTCTGATTGGTTAGCTAGCCCATTGTGTTGTGATTGGCTAAACCGCCTCTAGTGCGCGTCTAAACTAGGGCTGTGCGATATGGACAAAAAAAAACTATCGCGAATTCTTTTATCAATTTTGCGATTTCGATTTTAATCACGATTTGACACACAGACATGCTTTACAGTCATAAATGCATTCAGTGTGAATTTGAAACATATTTCTAAAAGAAAACCAATTAGAGCTTTATCAAACATGTTTAACATGCTGTAACATGTCTCTAGAACAGACATAAGGCAAAATAATCACTAAGTAAAGGTGTAACAAAATGTCTCTAGAATAGACATATGGCAGAAAAAAATAAATAAATCCCGTGTCCAGGGATTTTTTTGCCATGCATTGGTCCATAGAGCTCTTTGTGGCGTTGCCTCAGATGTTTAACTAGATTTGTTGCGCCAAGTTCAAACGTACTCCGTCTGCAGTGCGTATACAGTATGTGTATGCGGTGCAGAAGCAGCACGGACTCATTTTGCTTTCGCACAGGATGCGTTTGCAGTCCGCTCCTGATCCGCGGCTGTTTACCACAAACACAACGTTGTTTCTGAAAATGCTTTTTCAGCATTGTGATTCTCTTTTATCATAGTACAGTAATACAATCTTGCATTACTGTCTATCTATGCATTTATGGTGTAATTTCTAAATTTTTTACTGCGAATAATGCACTGTCACTTTCAGCGCGTGCAGCACAGCAGAAATAGACTCCGTGCGGAAACGATCGCAGCATGACTGCTGCAAACGCACCGCTCCTGGAGCACCCTGCCGGAGCGCAATCGCGTGCAGTGTGAAAGCTCTGATCCGTTATAACATTGGCGCGGAAAAAATGTGTGAACCTGGCGTTACGTTTGTATGCCCGCCCGGTCTGTTCTGTTCTCGTGCTCCATTTAGGCGCGCTGCATTCTGATTGGTTCGGATAGCATACTGCAGGAGGTCGGGGGCGCCGAAAATCGTGCTATAAAGCGATTTAGAAATCGCGCAAGCTCAAATCGCGATTTTATGACGATTTCGATTAATCGCACAGCCCTAATCCTAATTAAACATAAGTTGTATTAATTAACAATTAATAACAATAATATATTAAACTGCCAGAATTTTAAAAGACGATATCTCCGTTTGCATTGAACTTTCAGCTTCGTAACTTTGCAGATATTGTTTATGCTCAAACAGCAACATTACACACTAACTAACGTTAAAAAAGTGAAATCGCAATGAACCACCCCTTTAACATTTGTACAATGATTGTCAAATTTGATGAATGTATTAACTAAAGGGCTAAAAATACACTACCATTCAAAGTTTGGTTTGATAATATTTTTAATTAATACATTTATTATATAGAAAATATGCATTTCATTGATCAAAAGTCACAGTAAAGACATTTAGAATTTTACAAATGACTTCTGTTTCAGAAATGCTGTTCTTTTAAACTTTGTTTGTCAAAGAATCCTGAAAAAAAAATAAAAATAAGCAGCAACTGTTTTTAACCTTAATAAGAATAATTTTTTTGAGCTCCAAATCAGCATATTAGAATAATTTTTGAAGGATCATGTTACACTGAAGTAGGCATGGGCTGGTATGATATTTTGACGGTATAATAACCTTAAGCAAAAATATCACGGTATTGTCGTTACAGCTCTAAAGTGTGTTATTTTTAAATGAATGGGTGTAAAAAAAAAATAATAATAAGCTTTTTTCCGCTGAACACAATATATTTTGTTTTTGAGCAACATACAGAATATTAGGAACAATAGATTTTGTTTATTTTTTCTTTGATTTGTTTCCTAAAAAATAAGAAAAATAAAGACTGACATCTTTATTAAACCTAAATCTGTAATTACAGTTTTTTCATTTTAGTTATATAATTCATATACATATCATTTATATAATTTCATATCATTTAGTTATATAATTTCATAAACATAATTTGATTTAATAATAACCCAATCTGAAGCAAAAACAATGTTCTGACTAGCTTTGTGAAAGTATACTACATGCCTGAACGAAGCAAACAGTAGATGCTCTGAATGAGATGCAGATTCACTCTCTGACAGCAGGAGGCGCTCATGGAACACCAGATACGCATTTCCTTGGTTACCACTGTAAACAAAGCAGCACTGTGCTGAAACACTGCTTTAATATGAACTATACAGAGACGAGATGAAAAGAAAATACCACGTAAACTTTTCTGAAGACAGTCAGTTCCCCTCAGAAACACATTCATATAAACCCCCAAA